CCCCCTAGCTAAAAATAATTTTTTCAGAACGCTATAAAATTTTTTTTTTCATCCAAAAATCTGTCCCTTTCGACTTGTCTTAAAAATGTGTTTTTTGACTTTTAATAAATTTGAATGACACTCTACGTAAATGTTCTTCAATCCTCTTTTTTACCAATAGATTATCATTACTGATTTGCAGTCATGGGAATAGAAATACTTGGTTTTATAATTTCGATCAGTGTCAGAAATAGAATATCGTTGGAATGTAATTATGGTCGGGTGCATGCTTGTTTACCCACTTCATGAATTACCTTGAGTCCCCATTGTCACGCAAAAACCTCGTCGGCTGTATCGATCGCGCACCTTGGGAAAAATTTCCCGTGAGAAAAGCGGCCGGTTCATTCATTCCTGTCGATCTTTCGTGACATCGTAACGACCGACGTAGAATAAAATATAATATACTTATAAATAAATGGAGACGTAAATGCGGGGGTCTCGAACACACAGGGTGTGTTCTATTCGACCTTGTTACCAAGTTTATTTTTATATTCCAACAGCGTATAGTCCGCAACCTAAATGCAATCGTGTAGTCGTGCCCATAGAACTTTTTAATCTTTCAAAAATTCCGTTGCTATTCCTTGCACGCCATTTGCAAATTACTTCTGCAATAATCTGAAACCATTACTGTATTTATAAATTAAATTCTTACACTACAATGACGAGGTTAGCACAAGCTGATGCTAGGATCCTCAAGTATGGGGTTAATCACTCGTTAGAGAGTATTATAAATTAAAAAATTGATATTTTTTTACATTCACCAGGTGTTCTTAAAGTAAATCGTTGAACAAACAAGTTTAAATGCAATTAAATAGTGTGTATACCCCTCAAATGACGAGGTTGACTCGAGCTCTTGATGCTAAGATTCACGAGTATGGGGTTAATCACTCGTTAGAGAGTATTATAAATTAAAATCAATATATTTTTACATTCACCAAGTGTTCTTAAAGCAAATACAACAAATTAAAACAAAATTAAATAGTATATACACCCCTCAAATGACGAGGCTCACATAAGCTCTTGATGCCAAGCTTCACACTCATGGGGTGACTCATTATCGAGTCTTACAATTAAAATCACCACATTTCTACATTCACCAGGTGTTCTTAAAGCAAATCCAACAAATTAAAACACAATTAAATAGTATATGCACCCCTCAAATGACGAGGCTCACATAAGCTCTTGATGCCAAGCTTCACACTCATGAGGCGACTTGTTATCGAGTCTTAAACTTAAAATCACGACATTTCTACATTCACCAGGTGTCCCTAAAGCAAATCCAACAAATTAAAACAAAATTAAATAGTATATACACCCCTCAAATGACGAGGCTCACATAAGCTCTTGATGCCAAGCTTCACACTCATGGGGCGACTCATTATCGAGTCTTACAATTAAAATCACGACATTTCTACATTCACCAGGTGTCCCTAAAGCAAATCCAACAAATTAAAACAAAATTAAATAGTATATACACCCCTCAAATGACGAGGCTCACATAAGCTCTTGATGCCAAGCTTCACACTCATGGGGCGACTCATTATCGAGTCTTACAATTAAAATCACGACATTTCTACATTCACCAGGTGTTCCTAAAGGAAATCCAACAAATTAAACGAAATTTAAACAAAATTGAATGGTGGAAAATTGCTTGGAATTGGATCGCAAGTCAAGGGGTCAACAGTTGTTGGACGAGGGTCTCGAGTGTTTCGTATTAGCAGTAATAACGAAGAAGGAATAGTCTGGGACAGGAAACGCGTACGTAGTGCTGCGTGCATGGGGTTGCAAGTCGATCGTATCGCGAAACAGAACACCCCTTTTGCGAGGTACGGGGCACGAGGCACTCCGGGCTGAGAGCCACGAGCTCGAACCACCCTCGATACTCGTGGAACCCGGTTCCATCGTATCCAGTTACGACGTTCCAGCATACACGTGCCATATTGTCGTCGGGGTGCTTCACCTGACACGTGGCAATTTTCAATTCACCGGTACGTACGACGCTGCTTGACTTTTTCACGCGACACTTGACAGCGGAATCTAATATCGGTTTCACGTTCGTTTCGTCCAATCGAAAGCTCCTCTGTCGATTCAAATATCAAATAATATTTAGGGAAAATAACAAAAATTAAGTGAATTTCAGAGGATGGAAAATGTCAATTTTAAATGGGTTAGGTCTGGGTTAGGTCTGGATTAGATCTGGCTTAGATCTGGGTTAGGTCTGGGTTAGGTCTGGCTTAGATCTGGGTTAGGTCTGGGTTAGGTCTGGCTTAGATCTGGGTTAGGTCTGGGTTAGGTCTGGCTTAGATCTGGGTTAGGTCTGGGTTAGGTCTGGCTTAGATCTGAGTTAGGTCTGGGTTAGGTCTGGCTTAGATCTGGGTTAGGTCTGGGTTAGGTCTGGGTTAGGTCTGGGTTAGGTCTGGGTTAGGTCTGGGTTAGGTCTGGTTAGGTCTGGGTTAGGTCTGGATTAGGTCTGGGTTAGGTCTGGGTTAGGTCTGGGTTAGGACTGGGTCAGGACTGGGTTAGGACTGGGTCAGGACTGGGTTAGGACTGGGTTAGGTCTGGGTTAGGTCTGGGTTAGGTCTCCACGCACCCGTTTGGTTGTCCAGGCGGCAGGGGAGGTGAACCCCTACGTGGCGCGTCCCCAGGTGGCGGATAGGGCCAGCCGCTGGGATGGGATGCGGGGATGAGGTCATCAACCTAAGAAGGCTGGTATCTGCATCCTCGCATAGCATCCCGGAGGTCGGAGCGAAAGCTCCCGCGGACCAAACACCGGTATGAACGTGTTGCGCGTGTGAATGTGTGTGTGAGTGGACTGGGGCATGGGGTATTTGCCGCGGGTTAAACCTAAGGCCGCAGGTTGGCCAGTTGGCTGCGGGTGTGTCCTACGGCCAACATGGCCCCGCGGCCGGCGGCTTAGTCCCATGTCACGGGGCCGCGGGCGCTGGTGACCAGGCGCCTGCGGTTGAGTGGAAATGCGGTGGGAGGAGTGCCTCTCACCGGGAAGGGCCTGAAAAGGCACGGCGCGGCGGGGGACTCTGTGATGTCTCACTAGAGTTCCCGGTCCCTCGCCAAGCGCCTGAGGATGGTCACCGTGGGGTTTTAGCCGGTAAGAGTCCGGCACTACCCGCCGGCCCGCCCATCGGGTGGGCCCGCGGGTGTCCATGAGGATTTCCCCACGTACAAAGAAAAAAAAAAGGTCTAGCTTAGGTCTAGCTTAGGTCTACCTTAGATCTGTCTTAGATCTAGCCTAGGTCTAACTTAGGTCTGTCTTAGATCTAGCCTAGGTCTCGATCAGGAGAGGAATGAAAGTGTCATGGCGACATTGGACCATTAAGGTATAAACTCCACATTCAGTCATTGAAAGAGCCCCCTCTAAATCTTCCATTTAATTCCCCTATAAAAACTACGACCACAAGGAAGATCTAGCCCCCCACATTACTTGATTTAACACTAAAAAGATGATACCCCGTTTAATGCAAAGAGCAGAAACGTTGAGTGGCCATTCCCACTCCCGTGGTCCCGTTCCCACTCGCGATGCTTCCGTTAAAAATAGAAATGGTGGTTGGTTGTCAATTGCCAGTGTTTAGTTCGATACGTCGCTGGTCGCTTTTAATAAAATCGAGTTGCCAATGTCGAGGGTGGTTCAGGGATGGGAGGCTGGATATAAAAGCGAAGGTACAGTTTCTGGAAAGAGTGGGTCAAGTGATATCGACCATGCAGGAGCAGAAGAGGTATAGGAAGGTTTGGTTTCGCGAGTCACTCCTGCGACCATCTTTGTCTCCCACGAACGATTATATTTGCCCTGGGCATCGTTGTGTCGTTCACCAGCGGATCCTAAGGTAGATCAAACGTATTTGCCCAACGTTCGTGTTGACCTATCGCAAACGGTGACGCAACTCATTGTTCGGGTATTAATAGATTTTTCATCCACCTTTTTCGGTTTCTCGGATTCAATTATGCACGCGTCGTTCTAATTCTCATGACGTTCGATCCCTCCCTTTGGATTATTCAAATGGCCTCTCGAAATGTCGATATCGTCCATTACTTTTCGTTCTTAAACAATCTTCAGTCGACTATCAATATTGTACATTATTGGTCGAGCTTTTTTTAAAGTAAAGGGCATAGTTTTCTCATTTTCTGATCGAGAGAAACTTAATTAGGAACTCAAGAGACCTGGAAACCCCTATTTGAGGTGATTATTTGCAAATAAATATTGTGATTGTGATGATTTTCATGTTTTACCTTCAGAAGACCACAAACTAGCAAACTAAAGCTCAGAAAGAAGTAATTTTTAATCCAAATGGCCCAAAATATTCGAGCTAAAGCTCCCCCCGTTCTCCAGTGAAATATCCCCCCTAAAATCCAGGTAATTTCCCTCATCAGATCAATAGATTACGAGCTCCAAGTCAATAACTCTCCAAATGCCAATGATAACTCAAAAGCTCAGCAACAAATAGAAATAAAATACCTTTTCCTTGAATGTCAACAGAAATTGTACAGAAATGTCGAAGAAATATGATGACAAATCCCTTGATGAGTGTAAGTGCCGAATGCGACTGACTGAGCGTCGTATAAATAAAAAAGTCCAACTAAATGTCGGGATACACCTGTCAGCGGTCACCAGGTGGATTCCCCCGGTCCCGTAGGCGCGAATCTCGGTGATTTCGCGTCGGTCGGCGGCGCGCCACCGCGCAGACTCGCGCCTCTCGCCGGAGTCCACGCCCCCCGGCTGCGTCGTCGGGGTTTCGCGTGGAGTCGGCGCGGGTGGAGAGGTGGTCGCGTGAGAAGGACAGTCGCGCAGGGGTGCAGCGCGCGAGGCAGACGGACGCAGAGCCGGAGGGTGGACGCACCCCCCGTGGGATCCTCGTGACGTCACGGGGGTCGAATCAATATCGTTGGAACCGTCCAGCTGCCGGTCCTCGGCTGCCAGGAAGACGGTGTTCAGTACGGGGTGGCCTCCACGACCGTCAACGACTCCCGACACGTCCGTTCTCTCACCGCGGGGACAAATGTTTTTCACTCGTTTCGCCAAATAATCCTCGTACTTCTCCCCCCAGAACCACCCCTCGTTCACCCGGAATCTCCTTCTCCACTGTTTCTTCGTACCCTCGTAATGTTTTGAATCGCGCGCGAAAGTGAGCCGACGAGTCTCGATCGAAACGCGCGTGATTCGGTTGGAAAGAAGTTCGAAACGTCGCCGGAGTCGAAGTGTAAGTATCATTTTTTCTGTGTGCGTGTGTGTGTAGTCGATTTCACGCGCGACACCTGTGCACGGCGATTCTATCGATCCGGATGCACGTGAATCGCTCTATAGTCCCTCGTGATCGTGAAAAAGGGGTGGAATCGATTTCAAGTGGAAATTGTTCGAAAGTGGCGATTACGTAACAGTGTTTCCGAATTGTGTCCATGATCGACGATTTACATTCGAATTTAGCGCTATTTCTATCAGGAATGCCGAGATTTTCAAATTTAATTTTTTCCAATTTTCTTTCGTTAATTTTCGATTCGTAAATTCATTTTTAACCGTATTTTATGCAAGTTTACGATTTTAATTATTTTCTAACATTTTGTGGGTGAATCATGTCTGCACAAAATTAGGGTAGAAATAGTGTTAACTAAAATCATTCGTGACATTTGACACCTAAATTTGCAAGCTTATCGAACGAGGATGATAGAAATTTGGAGAACAGGTTGTTTTCGTAGGGGAATCCAGGTCGCCATAGTTTGTTCCCCATTCCACTGCAAAGGATGTTGAGATCATTTCGAAATGTTGGTAGAGTTGGTGCACTTGCATTCAATTTTTCGTGGTATTTCGAACAGTGTAAACACGAATTTCTCATTAGTAAACACTGAGGATTCCTGAGGAGCTAGAATGCTCTAGAATGAGCTTTTGAACACTGAGAAGAGGAATACGTGGTCCCCTTCGATCCTGTACCCTTTGGTACCCCTGTAAATATAGCAGGAGCAATAGCAACAAAGTGTACCATTTCAATTTTCAGAGATAAACAAGTGAGATGCCCCCCAATAGGGACCTCAAATTCCCCCCAGAAATGAAGTTGGAACCTATTTAACATTTTGATCCTCAGAAAAGTATTGGTCCTGTTCGTAGTTTGTGAGAAATGGGGGGGATGAATGTTCTGGAGGGATGTACGTGGGTTGTTTCAGGTGAAGGACCTTACCGATCGTCGCGATCGGCGCTGGTGAAACGTGGACGCAGGCGAAAATCGAGGAGGAAGCAAAGGTATCAGCAGGCTTGGTGAAAATCGATGGCCATCAGCGCCCATGGGCGGCCTCGCGTTTAGAACAAGGAATAGCCCCTCCCAGAAGACCTCGCTCCGGTGGGGTGACTGCTGCCCCCCGAATTCCAACCCTCCGTCGTCATCGGTCGTCTGGAAGGACCGTCATCAGGACATGCCGCCGGTACCCGTGTGAGGCTGTCCCCCGCTATTGCGTGATTGTACACCGCGGGGTCTTCAGAGGTATCAAACTTCTTACAACCTCACAAAACTAACTCACACCTGCCCAACTACCCCATTCCTGAATCTCATCCTAATTGAAACGATGGAAGACAGAAAGATTGACACAGCAACACGTCGATACACTCAACTAATTTGGGGCACTGACAAGTGTAACAAGTCGTTCAAACTGCTCACAACCTCACAGAAAGAGAATCCTCTCTATCCAGACCTGGCTCACACTTTTTTTCACCCCTCCACTTCCTAGATTTGCTGTTACCAGTACAGCAACACGTAGACTACCTCAGTCAATTGGTGTGCTTGCTCACAACTTCCCAAGAAGCATTCCCAAATCGTGCAAAGGATATCACACAAAGGAACTCACACCTCCTCAACTGCTCCATTCCTGAATCTCTTCCTAATCGAAACGATGGAAGACAGAAAGATTGACAGAGCAACACGTCGATCCACTCAACTAATTTGGGCCACTGACAAGTGTAACAAGTCGTTCAAACTGCTCACAACCTCACAGAAAGGGAATCCTCTCTATCCAGACCTGGCTCACACTTTTTTTCACCCCTCCACTTCCTAGATTTGCTGTTACCAGTACAGCAACACGTAGCCTATCTCAGTCAATTGGTGTGCTTGCTCACAACTTCCCAAGAAGCATTCCCAAATCGTGCAAAGGATATCACACAAAGGAACTCACACCTCCTCAACTGCTCCATTCCTGAATCTCTTCCTAATCGAAACGATGGAAGACAGAAAGATTGACAGAGCAACACGTCGATCCACTCAACTAATTGGGGCTACTGACAAGTGTAACAAGTCGTTCAAACTGCTCACAACCTCACAGAAAGAGAATCCTCTCTATCCAGACCTGGCTCACACTTTTTTTCACCCCTCCACTTCCTAGATTTGCTGTTACCAGTACAGCAACACGTAGACTATCTCAGTCAATTGGTGTGCCTGCTCACAACTTCCCAAGAAGCATTCCCAAATCGTGCAAAGGATCCATTTTGTTAAGCCTTTGTCTGTTAATTGGGATGCACCCAAGGCCTTGAACCCTGACGGTTTCGTTTGTGTGGCGTGTTTTTTTATGTCAGTACGGCTATGTGTTCCTTGCGATACAGCCGGCTATCGCGAAGGGTAAAACCGGGACTAATGGGATTAGAGGGTGAACTCAGCCGCGCGATTTAAATGCCTTCTGGGTAGGAACATAGAATTTACGCTTAATTGCGCGCGTTAGGCGCGAACGCATCGACCACGGCGCAAATTGAGCAGAAAAGCAGACTGCTATCTAAGCACTAGCAGAGTTACCCATCGTAGCTTCGATTTGTTGGGTGATCAGGGTGTTTGTCATTTGCACGCAGGTATCTAACCTTTTCAAAACCTTATTGACCGCCAAAGAATCCCAAAAATCCCAATAAAGAGCTAGATGACATCCTCTAATCATCATCTGTGCCTTCACTAGCGTATTTGCTGTGGTTTGATGAGGATGTTTGATGTTTCCACGCAGGTATCCAACCTCCTCAAAATCCAATTGACCACCAAAGAGGCCCAAAACCCCCAATAAAAAGCTAGACAACATCCTCCGATCACTATCTATGCCTTCACTAGCGTATTTGCTGTCGTTTGATGAGGGTGCAATCTAGGCACTAGTAAAGTAACTCATCCTAGCTTTGATTTATCAGGTGACGAGGATGCATATCGTTTGTACGCAGGTATCCAACCTCCTAGAAATCCAATTTACCACCTGAGAATCCCAAAAAACCCCAATAAAGAGCTAGATACCATCCTCAAATCACTATCTATGCCTTCACTAGCGTGGTTGCAGTTTGCTGAGGGTGTTTGTCGTTTGCTTGCAGGTATCCAAACTTCTCGAAATCCGACCGACCGCCGAACCTCTCGGATTTGCGTCTCCGTCAGTTCGAGTTCACGCACGTGGACCCGTACTCACCGAAGATGATCAACATCGCCGGTGTCATATCGATCGTTCTGTTCTACGTGCTGATCCTGGGCGTGGGAATATGGGCGGCCAGGAAGAAGGAGGCCGGAAACGACTCCGAGGAGGAAGTCATGCTAGCGGGTCGCTCGATTGGGCTGTTCGTCGGGATATTCACTATGACGGCGACCTGGGTCGGCGGCGGCTACATCAACGGCACCGCCGAAGCGATCTACACGAGGGGTCTCGTCTGGTGCCAGGCGCCATTCGGATACGCTCTTAGCCTCGTTTTTGGTGAGCTCAAACTCAATCTTTTCCAAATAAACCACCAGAATCCTCACAGTCAGAGGTGCAGGGGTCTGCAAATCCTGCCTTCAAAGTGCTGTAGCTTCTTGAAATAGGGTTCCAGTGGGGATCAACCACCTTTGCTAGCAAAAGTAGCTTTTATTAAATAGTCAATTTAAGTCTGAAGCACTCTGGATGATAACAGTGAAGGATGAAGGATGGTGATGATCCTTTCTTGGACAGTAGCCTAGTCAATTTGAGTCTGAAACACTCTGGATGATAGCAGTGAAGGATGTGGATGATCCTTTCTTGAACAGTAGCCTATTTAAGTGTCTGAAGCACTCTGGATGATAACAGTGAGGACTCTGGATGATCCTTTCTTGAACAGTACCCTAGTCAATTGAGTCTGAGACGCTCTAGATGATAACAGTGAGGACTCTGGATGATCCTCTCTTGAACTGTAGCCTATTTAAGTCTGAAACACTCTGGATAATGATAGTGAGGACTCTGGATGATCCTTTCTTGAACACTACCCTAGTCAATTGAGTCTGAGACGCTCTGGATGATAACAGTGAAGGATGAAGCATGGTGATGATCCTTTCTTGGACAGTAGCCTAGTCAATTTGAGTCTGAAACACTCTGGATGATAGCAGTGAAGGATGTGGATGATCCTTTCTTGAACAGTAGCCTATTTAAGTGTCTGAAGCACTCTGGATGATAACAGTGAGGACTCTGGATGATCCTTTCTTGAACAGTACCCTAGTCAATTGAGTCTGAGACGCTCTAGATGATAACAGTGAGGACTCTGGATGATCCTCTCTTGAACTGTAGCCTATTTAAGTCTGAAACACTCTGGATAATGATAGTGAGGACTCTGGATGATCCTTTCTTGACCAGTACCCTAGCCAATTGAGTCTGAGACGCTTTGTATAGTAACAGTGAGGACTGTGGATGATTGTGCTGTTGCAGGAGGAATATTCTTCGCGAATAAGATGCGGGAGCAGGGGTACATCACGATGTTGGACCCCCTTCAAGACGCGTTTGGCGAACGCATGGGTGGTCTTCTGTTTCTTCCTGCCCTCTGTGGCGAGGTCTTCTGGGCCGCTGGTATTCTGGCAGCTCTGGGAGCCACGTTAGCAGTGATCATCGACATGAACCAGGGCGCCTCGGTCATTTTGAGCGCCTGCATCGCTGTTTTTTACACTCTCTTCGGGGGTCTTTACTCTGTTGCTTATACCGACGTTATTCAGCTCTTTTGCATCTTCATCGGTCTGGTGAGTCTCTCCATCCCTCTATCACCTTTCCAAACATCACCAAACCGTGGCATTTGAATATTTTAAGCTCGAAGTTGCTCGATTATGCGAATCCTGTGGCCACGGTCTTGCCAGATCGATATTAGGGCTCAGGGAGCTTGCAAGTATTTGTATTACCAAATTTATCCGGTGACTGTGTAGGCGGTGACCTACTTCCTTTCACTGTATCAAACTGGTATTCCAAACTATGGCGGATTAAGATCATTTCAGGCATCCATCTTGAAATCGTCGAGCAGAACAGATTTATGATAACATAACCTCTTTCTTTTCTATATTCACCTTCCATTTGCTCTAATTAATCGCGATAAAACCCTCCCAATTGCGATACCATCGTTTATCATCCGAAAGAGGACTCCTTTTCCATGATCAAAGGCCACCATTTTCGATTTAATAATTTCATCCTCTCACGAAACACTTGGACCGTGTTCGACACTAGATAAAATTGGAATAAAGGTGTGGTGATTTGAATTGCAGTGGATGTGCATTCCATTCGCCTGGTCGAACCCAAAAGTAGAGTCTCTCGGTTCCATGGAGGTGGACTGGATAGGTCAAGTGAACTCGAACGAGTACTGGTCCTACGTAGATTACGGACTGTTGTTGATATTCGGTGGTATACCCTGGCAAGTGTACTTCCAACGAGTCTTGTCCTCGAAAACAGCAGGGAGGGCACAGTTGCTCAGCTACGTGGCGGCGATAGGGTGCATCCTCATGGCCATCCCGCCTGTACTCATCGGAGCAATCGCCAAAGCAACGCGTAAGTCACCCAACAATCACTATCTGTTCCCCTAGATTCTCTTCTCCGCCTTTTACCATGTTAATCTGCTTATTTATACCTTGTCCTTGCGCTCTTTATTTATACGTGCCCCGTTTCTCGCGTGAAATTTGCAAAGAAGGTCGCTCGATCATCGATAAACGCGACTCCGTTCTCCAGGAAAATCGAGTAAATATCGTTTCTCGCAAGCACTCGTAATTGGAACGATGCTACGTTTCTTTTGCGATTTTATCAAGCATAACAAGAGACACTGAAATATGTTTAGTTGGGGGGATGATAAATTAAACATCGTCTTGAGCCTTTTGCCCCGCGTTGACTGTTCTGGTTGTTTAGTTACGGGGACGGAAATATGTTTCATGGGTTCCCAAAGCTAAGGGGGATTGAATTAGACCCGGTTTGCTCTACATCCACCCCCCCTGTTCCACCCCCTTCGACCGCCAACATTCGGAAGCTACTTGACATTTCGTACCGCCGCGGAGAGAGAACTGCTGGTATTTACAAAGTTCCAGCTAAGCGGGTCGGTGTTGTAACGGAAGGGTGTGTGGGTAGAGGGGTGCCTTGATATCCCACAGTGTGTACAATAGCGTGGGATTCTGTCATATGGCGTTGTGGATGCGAGGGCGAGGGTAGTAATGCGACTCGTCCAGCAACACGCGATACAATAGAATCACCGGAACTAATGCGACACGATGTATCGGTATCTTTCATGGGTTTTATTCCGCGAAAAAACACCGTGCAATTCGTCGAAAAACTCTCCTCTAGACGCGATAAAATTTAGACGATGTTTTTTTATTTTTTAAAAGCGTGGAATATCATTTCAAAACATCCCTACAATAAGAATGGAAATTGTAGAGTCTGTTGTAACTTGTGATTTTAATTAGGAAAAAATGAAAGAGATAAGGGTTTTACAGTATTTTATGATCAATGGGATAGGGTATATCAATTTTCCATTTTTGTATTATTTTTTGAGAAATGAAAGCTACCAATTTCTTTAATTTGGAATTCTTTAAAGTGGAATTTTTTTCTCGAAAATGCGTAGGAATTCGAGGGTATGTCTATTGACCAAAAATTATTGTAATTAACCCCTGCAACTAGAGATAATTTTTTTAGGATGATTTGAAATTGTTTAATTTCGTCCAAAAATGTAGACACCTACCCTTTTCTTAGAAGTTCGTTTTCGATTTTTAGTAAATTTACGTAACGTTCTACGGAAATGTTGTTTAATACTTTTCTGTAGGTATCCATGAGCTCTACATCTCCCTAAAATTTCATTGAATTATATTCACTATTGTAGGAGTTATGGTTGTCTGAAAATTGGACCGGTTTTATGGTATTTTTTCTCATTTTCCGAGGTCAAGAAATAATTTCTGAAATTTTTTCAAAATTTCTACATATTCTCCATCAAAATACGCGTAGTTTACTTTTTTAAACATTAAAATCCTCCAATCCGTTCAGAAGTTATGATATTTTAAAGATTTCCATGCAATTTTAGGGAAACATTTAGGGTCAGACGTTTTAATTTCGGTAATTTCATCTTCCTGAATTTTTTTCTCGAAAGTGGTGAAGATTTCCGGGGTATGTCTATTCACCAAAAATACTTGTAATTGACCTCTGTAACTAAATATAATTTTTTTAGTTTGATTTGAAATTTTTTAATTTCGTCTAAATATTTCAGTACATTTGGAATTTTTTTCTCGTAAGTGAGTAGGATTTTGAGGGTATGTCTATTCACCAAAAACTATTGTAATTGACCCCCCTAGCTAAAAATAATTTTTTCAGAATGATTTGAAATTTTTTAATTTCGCCCAAAAATTTGACCAACTTGTCGAATTTTTTTCTCGAAAATGCGTAGGATTTCGAGGGTATGTGTAATAATTAAAAATGATTGTAATTAGCCCCTGTACGTAAGAAAAATTTTTTCAGAGCCATTTAAAATTTTTTAATTTCGTCCAAAAATTTGACCATCTTGTCGAATTTTTTTCTCCAAAATGGATAGGAATTCGAGGGTATGTCTATTCATCGAAAACTATTCTAATTGAACCTCCTAGCTAAAAATAATTTTTTCAGAACGATTTGAAAATTTTCATGTTCGTCTAAAAATTTGATCACGTTCTTGAATTTTTTTCGCGAAAATGAGTAGGAATTTGGGGGTACGCCTATTCACCAAATATTATTGCAATTGACCCCCCTAGCTAAAAATAATTTTTTCAGAACGATTCCAAATTTTTTTTCCCCCCGAGAAATTTGACCACCTTAAAGAATTTTTTTTCTCGAAAATGAGTAGGAATTCGGGGATACGCCTATTCACCAAATATTATTGTAATTGATCCCCCTAGCTAAAAATAATTTTTCCAGAACGTTTTGAAAATTTTCATTTTCGCCGGAAAATTTTAGCAGCCTACCCCGTGTCGATTTTTCTTGAAGATTCGTTTTTTATTTTTAATAATTTTGTTTGACGCTCTACAGAAAAATTGTTTAATACTTTTTCGTAGGTACCCATGAGCTCTACTTTCTCCCAAAATTTCATTGAAATATATTCACTATTGTAGGAGTTATGGCTGTTTGAAAATTGGGCCATTTTTATGGGGTTTTGATCATTTTAATGTGTCAAGGACCAACTTTTTGAATATTTTTATAATTTCTACATATTCTCCATCAAAATATGCGTTGTTTGCTTTTTTAAACTTTAAAATCCTTCGATCCGTTCAAAAGTTATGGCGTTTTAAACATACGCACGAATTTTCAGAGTAACTTTTCTGGCCACAGTTTATATTTTTAGTAAAGAATTTTTTTCTCGAAAATGCGTAAATTTTCGATGTTATGTCTATTGACCAAAAATGATTGTCACCGACCCCTGCAACTAAAAATAATTTTTTTAGAACGATTTTACAATTTTCATTTTCGTCAAAAATTTGTCAACCTACTCGAATTTTTTTCTCGAAAATGCGTAAGATTTCGACAATATATCTATTGACCAAAAATGATTGTCACTGACCCCTGCAATTAAAAATAATTTTTTTAGAACGATTTTACAATTTTCATTTTCATCAAAAAATTTGTCTACTTACTCGAATTTTTTTCTCGAAACTGCGTAAGATTTCGTGGATATATGTCTTCACAAAAAGTGATTGTAATTGACCCCTTAGCTAAAAATAATTTTTTCAGAACGATTTGACAATTTTGAAATTTCAGGGGAATCATTCATTCATGATCAGACATTGAGATTTCTCTAAAGAATTTTTTTCTCGAAAATGCGTAGGATTTCGGGGTTATATCTATTCACCAAAAATGTTAATAATTAATCCCTGTAGTCAAAAATAATTTTTTCAGAACCATTCGAAATTTTTCAATTTCGTCCAAAAATTTGACTATCTTCCTGAATTTTTTTCTCGAAAATGCGTAGGATTTCGGGGATATGTCTATTCACCAAAAATGTTAACAATTAACCCCTGTAATCAAAAATAATTTTTTCAGACCCATTTGAAATTTTTTAATCTCTCCCCTTACTTATGCCATAAAAAAAAAACATATATATAAGATTCATTTCTCAAAAAATAATAGAAACTTGCAAAATTTATATACACTGTCTTATTCCTCATAAAAAAATTCTAAAACTGTTCCCCTACCTTTTTTCTATTAATTGGAACAGTTTTCCAAAAAAAAACCCATCTTTTAATAATTTAAACACCCCTAACAGACTCTTCCATGCATCTAAACTGTAGTAGTCCATTTTCCAGAAGTAGATTTCGTCTATCATATTTTCTAAAAGTGTTTCAGCGATGTTGTTAGTAATAAAAACGAGGATTATGAAATCTGTTGTAGCCTGGAACGAGACGGGTTACACCGGTCCCTATCCCTTCACCGAGGACCAAACGAGCATGATCCTACCGATGGTGTTGCAGTATCTGACACCAGATTTCGTTTCCTTTTTCGGGTTAGGCGCAGTGTCAGCGGCGGTGATGTCCTCAGCGGATAGTAGCATACTTTCGGCTAGCTCGATGTTCGCCAGAAACGTGTATAAATTGATCTTTCGCCAGAGGGTAAGTCCACCACGTAGACCGTCGTTGCTTTACTCTTAACCTCATCTCTCACACAACCGAACGACGATTCAACCGCTTCCGTGCATTGTACCGCAACGTACGCATCGAATCACCATCAATCACGATCATTCACTAATCGTCACCACCATACTCGACGATTCCTCGCGCGATCCGACTTCATTACCATTACCACATACGACATCACATCATCTACGACACGGAGGAACGCACGAAGGGTTCAACGACCGGGAATACAAACATCCTCCAAAAAAAAAAAACCATCGCCATCACGTTCCCCCTTCACGTCTTCGTGTTTGAAACCATTTAGTCGCTTGTCCTCGAACACGAAGAGGCTGGAACGGTATTCCTCTCTACAAGCCCGTTTCCCTCCCCCTTGAACAGGCGTCGGAAATGGAGATCATCTGGGTGATGAGAGCGGGGATAGGCGTGGTCGGCGTGTTGAGCACGGTGATGGCGTTGACGATACCCTCGATCTACGGGCTCTGGTCGATGTGCTCAGACCTGGTCTACGTGATCCTCTTCCCGCAGCTACTGATGGTGGTCCACTTCAAAGAGTACTGCAACACTTACGGCAGCCTGTCCGCGTACATAATCGCGTTCGTGGTGAGGATCAGCGGCGGTGAACCGTTGATGGGTCTGCCCGCGCTGATCCACTATCCGGGCTACGACGAGGAAACGAACACCCAGGGTTTCCCGTTCAGAACGATGGCGATGCTGTTGTCGTTGATCACGTTGATAAGCGTGTCGTACGGCACGCAGGTGGCATTCCTTACCGGCAGACTGGCGCCCGGCTACGATGTCTTCAGGTGCGTGGTGAACATACCGGAGGACGTCGAGAGGGTCGGCCCGGACCCGGCTGAGGGGGAGCAAATGGCCGTTCTGGCTGCTGGGGTCGGTAGACTCTACGGCAGCAAGGACGAGTCGAACGGACGAGTGAATCCTGCGCTCGAACCGGACTACGACATGGATCCGGGATACAAGGTAGCCGGGCAACCGGAACCCGTCGTCGGCGGGGGCGGCGGGGGCGGTGCTGGCGTACAGCTGGTGCCACACGGTCCCAACGCGCCGCGACAGCCCCAATCCAGCACCGCGTTCTAATCCCTGGTTCCGTGATCGGATGCTGTGACCAACAATAAACGCGGCGGTCTAGGCCATTTTCCTCTTTCGTTCGTCCCTTTTGGTTCTTTTGTGTCCATCTCACTGTTTTGATTGTGTTTTTGTTTGTAATTGGGTCCCAAACGTGCCACCTCAAAAGGGGAATTCTTGTCTAACGACTTTAAAATTTTTTATTTTCTAGTTTTTTTTTTTGGTGAGGAATTCGATTTTCTGTTGGGCTAGGATTTTTGGAGCATGAAGGGGGACCCCTAAGCTGTAGGGACATATTTTTTTTGGGCCAGTTTTTGTTGTTTATAATACATAAGAAGGGCAGAAACTGAGCATTGGAAAGAATTCAGGATTAAAAGTTCTTCTTGAATTTTTTTCATAAAGAATTCAAAGTTCTATTGTACTAGAATTTTTGGAGCATGAAGAGGGGCCCTTAAACTATTGGAAAATAATTTTTTTAACCCACTTTTTGTTGTTTATAATAACCAAGAAGGGCTGAAACTGAGCATTAGAAGGAATTCAGGATTAAATGTTTTTCTTTAATTTTTTTCATAAAGAATTCAAAGTTCTATTGCTCTAGAATTTTTGAAGCATGAAAAAGGGCCCTTGAACTATAGGAAAATATTTTTTTTAGTCCAATTTTTGTTATTTACAATAACAAAATAATAACCAAAGTGGCAGAAACTGAATCCAGTTTTAAAAGTTTCTTTTGAAATTTTTTTCATAAAGAATTCAAAATTCTATTGAACTAGGATTTTGGGAGCATTAAAAAGGACCCTTAAGCTGTAGGAAAATATTTTTTTTTTGCTATTTTTTGTTGTTTACAATAACCAAGAATGGCAGAAACTGAATCGAGGATTAGATGTTTCTTTTGAATTTTTTTTCATAAAGAATTCAAAGTTCTATTGTATCAGGATTTTTGGAGTATAAAGAAGGGCCCTTAAACTATAGGAAAATATTTTTTTTAGTCCACTTTTTACTGTCTATAATAACCAAAAATGGCAGAAACTGAATTCAGGATTAAAACATTCTTTTGAAATTTTTTTCATAGAGAATTCGAAGTTCTTTTGGATTAGGATTTTTGGAGTATGAAAAGGGACTCTTAAACTATAGGAAAATATTTTTTTTAGTCCACTTTTTGTTGTTTACAATAACCAAGAATGACAGAAACTGAATTCACGATTAAAAGTTTCTTTCGAAATTTTTTTCATAAAGAATTCAAAGTTCTATTGTACTGAAATTGTTGGAGCATGACATGGGGCCCTTAAACTATAGAAAAATATTTTTTTAGTCCACTTTTTGTTGTTTAGAATAACCAAAAAAGGCAGAAAATGAACATTGGAGAGCATCCAAGATTAAAAGTCTCTTTTGAAATTTTTTTCATAAAGAATTCAAAATTCTATTGTACTAAAATTTTTGGAGCATGAAGAGGGGCCCTTAAACTATAGGAAAATATTTTTTTTAGTCCACTTTTTACTGTCTACAATAACCAAAAAAGACAGAAAATTAGCATTGGAAAGAATTCAAGATTAAAAGTTTCTTTTGAAATTTTTTTCATCCAAAATTCAAAGTTCTATTGTACTAAAAATTTTGGAGCATGAAAAGGAACCCTTAAACTATAGAAAAATATTTTTTTTAGTCCATTTTGTATTTTCTTTTATTAAATAATAATTGTGCCTTTTAATTCAATCCAAGGATAAAGATGAAATTTTCTTAAAACTGGATGATTTCCACTATTCCAAATAGAAAATCTAGAAAATTTAAAAATCCTACACCATTTTTAATAAACAACAATCCTCTTCCCATAAAAACCAATCAATTTTTTTTATTTCGATTAAAACACTACTATTTAACGAAAAGATAATAAAAAATCCACAAAAAAAATATTTTCATACAATTCAAGGGTCACTCTTCCTATTCCCAAAATTCCATCCCAAAAGAGCTGTTAATTCCTCAGGAAAAAAAATAAAAAACTCTAAATTTTAACGCTGCTACACGAGAATGCCCCCTAAAAAACAGTTAACCCTAATTAATAATTGCAATGGTTCAAAATCTATTTTATCTAATCGAGAGCAATTTTTTATTTTTATTTTTTTCAAATCAAAACATAAAACTTAAACTTTATTACCAAAAATATTTCCTAACCTAAAAGAATAGCCTAATACCACTGTTTAGCAATTCTAAAAATTCCCCAGGGGCACAAATGGACCCTCACGAACCCAACATTTAATTTCCCCATCAAAAACCACTCTTTTCAGAGCCACTCAGTTCGAAAAACGTTCCCATAATTTCCCCCAAAACCCGTTTCTCCGCCATTAAAAAGTTCCTCCTCGCTTCACGTTCACGAAGCTCCGTAAACATGTAAATCTAGAGCAAGTTCTGCACTTTGTTCGATCCGCGATCGATTCGTTAAATAGTGAAATCATTTTCGAGGGGGATAAACGACCAAAACGGACCGAAACCAAGCTATAGACATAGAATCGAAGCTTCGCGGACAGTCGAGCGAGGCATGTCCCGCCTACGCCGCCAATTAGGCCTAGTAACTTCATCGTTTCCTTTTTGAGATATATATCTAAATCATAATCATCTATAATTACGTGCACGTGACCATCGTGCATGGAATTATACGTGGCTATACGATATATCTAGAGTTTATCAAACCGCTTGAGAGAAGTAACGTCTTGATGCACGACCGATCCGTCCCCCCTGTTATCGCCAAAACCGTTTCCAAGAGAATTCGAAGGGGGCAGACCCAATCGATTGTTATAGTTCGTTAGATATTTATCCAGGACGAGGTGTTTCTAGAATCGAATTAGACGAGCCCGTGTGTTATCGTTTGTTGGTCTTCTTCCACATTATTTGCACATGGTCATAATTATCGATGTTAGGCGAGAGAGTCAGAAAACTGGGGGAAAAACAGGAAAAAAAATATTAAAAAATAAGCGAAAAAAAAAACCGACGAGACCGCTTTTTGTACCCGCGATCGATTGTTCTTCCCTTGCTTGATCCGTTAGGGTACCGTGATTATGCTACACGTGGACACGTTCCTTCGTGACAGATACGACGTTTTTTAGGTGTTAGAAAATTAGTTACACGCAAAACGTGGGTCACGAAGCGTCCACAGAGCTTTCTTCGACCCCCCAAATTAGGGGGGCGACTCGAGCAAAATGGCGAAACGAGAAACTATGTTTGAATCAATTCTTTCACATTTCGAGATAGAAATGATAATTATTTGAACTGGATTTTTATTTCGAGGATCATTTTTTGGGGGGGTTCAGAGCCCCCCAAAAAGAGCTGATGTTTGAATTAATTTTTTTTACTTAAATTCTTTCACATTTCGAGATAGAAATGATAATTATTTGAACTGGATTTTTATTTCGAGGATCATTTTTTTGGGGGGTTCAGAGCCCCCCAAAAAGAGCTGATGTTTGAATCAATTCTTTTTACTTAAATTCTTTCACATTTCGAGATAGAAATGATAATTATTTGAACTGGATTTTTATTTCGAGGATCATTTTTTGGGGGGGTTCAGAGCCCCCCAAAAAGAGCTGATGTTTGAATCAATTTTTTTTACTTATATTCATTCACATTTCGAGATAGAAATGATAATTATTTGAACTGGATTTTTATTTCGAGGATCATTTTTTGGGGGGGTTCAGAGCCCCCCAAAAAGAGCTGATGTTTGAATCAATTTTTTTTACTTAAATTCTTTCACATTTAGAGATAGAAATGATAATTATTTGAACTGGATTTTTATTTCGAGGATCATTTTTTGGGGGGGTTCAGAGCCCCCCAAAAAGAGCTGATGTTTGAATCAATTTTTTTTACTTAAATTCTTTCACATTTCGAGATAGAAATGATAATTATTTGAACTGGATTTTTATTTCGAGGATCATTTTTTGAGGGGGTTCAAAGCCCCCCTAAGAAGAGCGTAACTTTTAACATTTTTTGACGAGTTTCTTTTAATTTTTAAATTGTTATATTAACAGTAGAATTACCAAAAAGCAGTCAAAATGATCTATTTTTCAGAGCCCCCCAAAATTGGGGGTATCTTTTAGCATTTTTCGACGAGTTTTGTTTAATTTTTAAATTATTATATTAGCAGTAGAATTACCAAAAAACAGTCAAAATGATCTATTTTTCGGAGCCCCCCAAAAAGGAGTGTCTTTTAGCATTTTTTGACGAGTATCTGAGGAGTATTATTATAAACAAAGTGTAAAAGTTGACGAAAATAGGAAGATCGTCGAATCTCGTTTTTATTTTCGCCATTTTTCACGTTGCCCCCCTTAATGGACGTTGTAAATAGATCCAGAGCGCGATGGCGTCAGTAAGTAAGTTCCTCGATGTGTAATTGGTTAAAAAAGACGATTAATCGTGCAACAACGAACGGCCACGCACGAGAGTTTGAATATTAGAGATGGATCGGTCGTTGCACGGAGATTCGTTGTATTTATTATATAGTATATATTATATATACAGTGTATGATATAACCGGCATTATTGGCATTTAAACGAGAGACGAGGGTTAGCGAATGTGTATAATCGGATCTCTATATGCGTATACGTACACACGAGAAGACTAATAACGTAGTTGTTAAACTCGCAGGTTACGAATTATCGACGCCATTGTTTGTTTCACGATCTAACGCGGTGGAACTAATCACTGTCGATATTATTGTTGCTAGAAACCCTTATTTTTGTCACCTCCCCCCTTACGATGTTGAACATTGCAAGAAAATAATGATTGGGAATTTTTTTTTTAAATTTTTAAATTGTTTTATTAACAGTAGAATTATCAAAACAGTCAAAATGATCTATTTTTAGATTCTAATCAAATTAAGGTATTAATTAGACTGAATTTTTGAAAATTGACTGAGATTTAATGAAACATTTCCATTGCAAGAGAATAATAATTACTAATTCGATGATTAGGAATTTTAAAAAAAATTTTTAAATTATTATATTAATACTAGAACTATCAAAAGAGTCAAAATGATCTTTTTTTGTAGTTTCTAATGAAATTAGCAAAATATTAGACTGAATTTTTGAAAATTGACTGAGATTTAATGAAACATTTCCATTGCAAGGAAATAATAATTACAAATTCGATGATTAGGAATTTGTTTTTAAATTTTTAAACTATTATATTCGTCGATTAAATTATATTAACACTCCTAAAGCAGGCAAAATTATCTATTTTTAGTTTCTAATCAACTTAGTAAAATATTAGATTGAATTTTTGGAAATTTACTAAGATTTAATAAAACATTTCCATTGTAAGAAGATTAGAAAATTTATTTTCAAATTTTTAAATTACTATATTAATACTAGAACTACCAAAACAGTCAAAATGATCCATTTTTAGTTTCTAATCAAATTAGTAAAATATTAGACTGAATTTTTGGAAATTTACTGAGTTTTAATGAAAAATTTCCATTGCAAGTAAATAATAATTACAAATTCGATGATTAGAAATTGTTTTTAAAATTTTTGAATTATTATATTCGTCGATTAACATATATTAACACTACCTAAACAGTCAAAATGATCCATTTTTAGATTCTAATCAAATTAAGGTATTAATTAGACTGAATTTTTGAAAATTGACTGAGATTTAATGAAACATTTCCATTGCAAGAGAATAATAATTACTAATTCGATGATTAGGAATTTTAAAAAAAATTTTTAAATTATTATATTAATACTAGAACTATCAAAAGAGTCAAAATGATCTTTTTTTGTAGTTTCTAATGAAATTAGCAAAATATTAGACTGAATTTTTGAAAATTGACTGAGATTTAATGAAACATTTCCATTGCAAGGAAATAATAATTACAAATTCGATGATTAGGAATTTGTTTTTAAATTTTTAAACTATTATATTCGTCGATTAAATTATATTAACACTCCTAAAGCAGGCAAAATTATCTATTTTTAGTTTCTAATCAACTTAGTAAAATATTAGATTGAATTTTTGGAAATTTACTAAGATTTAATAAAACATTTCCATTGTAAGAAGATTAGAAAATTTATTTTCAAATTTTTAAATTACTATATTAATACTAGAACTACCAAAACAGTCAAAATGATCCATTTTTAGTTTCTAATCAAATTAGTAAAATATTAGACTGAATTTTTGGAAATTTACTGAGTTTTAATGAAAAATTTCCATTGCAAGTAAATAATAATTACAAATTCGATGATTAGAAATTGTTTTTAAAATTTTTGAATTATTATATTCGTCGATTAACATATATTAACACTACCTAAACAGTCAAAATGATCCATTTTTAATAAACTAATTCGATGATTAGGAATTTTTTCTTTGAATTTTGAATTATTATATTCGTCGATTAAAATATATTAACACTCCCAAAGCAGTCAAAATGATCAATTTTTAGTTTCTAATCAAATTAGTAAAATATTAGACTGAATTTTTGAAAATTTATTAAAGATTTAATAAAACATTCCCATTGCAAGAAAATAATAATTACAAATTCGATGATTAGGAACTTTTTTTTAAATTTGTAAATTATTATATTCGTCTATTAAATTATATCAACATTAGAATTACCAAAGCAGTGAAAATGATCTTTTTTTATAGTTTCTAATGAAATTAAAATATTAACTAGATTGAATTTTTGAAAATAGACTAAAATTTAACAAAAAATTTCCATTGAATTACTCCAAATATCTATTTTTCTAATTCCTCCTTTAATTTCCATAAATAACTGTAATTCCAGCGTTAAAATAACCTTTCATTTTTAGAAAACTCATAGTGACAGTGATTATGGTCTTCTGCGTTATTAATCGTATTGTTTTTACGTAGTTCTTGCGTGGTTCGCGAGTTAATGCCTACGTAGTTGCGTTATTATTCATCGTAGCTGCTCATTCCCATCGTTCACACGGCGAAAACGATCGAAATGTGGCGGGAAAGATCGAGATCGATATATGTGGTCGCTGATCGATTCGAATTTCTCCGTTTCTACCGTTTTCGTTGATATTTATTCACCACCCACACATTACACGGAAGTCGTTACTTTGTTCCTATCGTGCACGTCGGAACCTCGACCTTTCCGCGATAGATTATCGCTGGATCTACGGAACTGGATCGATTAGAGAGGCTCCGGGCGCCATATTTGAAATTGCAGAGCTCATCGAAGCTATTTACCATTAATTCGATCGAAGAAAATCGTACAAATACAAGACAAACAAAAAAGAAAATTTCTAATCTTCGTTAATTCAATGTTAGAAATTTCTAATTTTAATTTTAATAATATAATTTCAATGGGATAAAATTCTAACAATTTTGTCACTCTTTGAGTTATTTTAACAAGAATTTACTATTGTATATATTTATTAATCTACTTGGTTTAGAAATTAGATGAACAAAACTAAACAAAAGTGGAATTTAATTTTAATTTTAGTAAATTGAATGTTTCAAATTTTCAATTTAAATTAGAATAATTTAATTTTACTTGGAGAACAATTCTAAGACATACTCAGAATTATTTAGACAAGGGTTTTATATATTTATTAAACAATATTGCTTTGTTTTATATTATATTTTAATCTAGTTCAGTTAGAGCAATCAATGTTTTTAGAAATTAAATAAAAATGGTACAAGTTTAACAAGAATAAACAACTCTAAATTTAATTCTAAATTGAATGTTAGAAACTTTCAATTTAAATTAGAAAAATATAATTTCACTTGGAGACAAATTCTAAGACACTTTTCGAATTATTTAATGAGAATAAACGATTCTAAATTTAATTCTAATCTTCTTTAATTCTAAATTGAATCTTAAAAATTTTCAATTTAAATTAGAAAAATATAATTTCACTTGGAGAACAATTCCAAGACACTTTCAGAGTTATTTAACGAGAATAAACAATTCTAAATTTAATTCTAATCTTCTTCAATTCTAAATTGAGTGTTAGAAATTTTCAATTTAAATTAGAATAATATAATTTCACTTGGAGACAAATTCTAAGACACTTTTAGAGTTATTTAACGAGAATAAACAATTCTAATCTTCTTCAATTCTAAATTGAATCTTAAAAATTCTCAATTTAAATTAGAAAAATTTAATTTCACTTGAAGACAAATTCTAAGACACTTTTAGAGTTATTTAACGAGATTAAACAATTCTAAATTTAATTCTAATCTTCTCTAATTCTAAATTGAATGTTAGAAACTTTCAATTTAAATTAGAATAATATAATGTCACTTGGAGAACAATTCTAAGACACTTTTAGAGTTATTTAACGAGAATAAACAATTCTAATCTTCTCTAATTCTAAATTAAATGTTAGAAACTTTCAATTTAAATTAGAATAATATAATTTCACTTGTAGACAAATTCTAAGCCACTTTTAGAGTTATTTAACGAGAATAAACAATTCTAATCTTCTCTAATTCTAAATTGAATCTTAAAAATTTTCAATTTAAATTAGAATAATATAATTTCACTTGGAGACAAATTCTAAGCCACTTTTAGAGTTATTTAACGAGAATAAACAATTCTAATCTTCTTTAATTCTAAATCGAATGTTAGAAATTTTCAATTTAAATTAGAAAATTATAATTTCACTTGGATAAAAATTCTAAAACACACTTAGAATTATTTAGACAAGGGTTTGATATATTTATTAAACAATAATTGCCTCGTTTTATAATTCCCTTTTAATCTAGTACAACCAGTGTTTCTAGATCTGGTGTTAGATCGGAATATCGTGCAGACTGGCGAGACTTCGCGTTGCACGAAACCACTATAGTTCCCAACTTTCCCCAAGAAGGTCACGAAGGTCATTCTTGTTATTATTATTCACTCATCAACCGGAAGAAACCCATTCAATTGCATTTATATAAAAAAAAGAACACTTAATTCATCAAAGACTTTCTGCTTCTAAAAACCCATAAACTCGATTAATATCATTACGTACCATATTTTTCTGATAAATAAATTTTCAAGGTACGTCGATCACAGTTTAAAACAAGTCCTCCAATATTTAAAAAAACACCTGTTTTAAATAAATTTTCTTTAAAAACGTGAATTTTGGGAAAGGTTGGGAACCACTGGTAACAGAGGCGATTCCGTTTGGATTCCTATGACTATTGTTATCTCTTCCCGTTTTCCCCGGTTAAGAATGAATGATAATAAGACACAAACGAACAAAACTACGATGATTTTGCACGGAAGATCGGAGATGAAAAAAAAAAATAAGAAAAATGTCAATTAGTTCCGCCTTGGCGATTTCGAATGATCTTCTTTTTCGTGACAAAGAAAGCGACGAGGACGAACGTTTCCGGACGGAAGTAGCTTTTTAGCCAGGGACGGAGAGTGGGGGAACGCGTCGTTTCCCATTCGCTTGTTAAGCGGGGTGTCTTCGCGCGCGACGACGATGGTGAAATTATCGTCCGTACTGTTGACAAGAGCCGAGAGAATGTTTTCCATCCTAACTCTTTCATTTTCAACAGCCAGCGGTACTTTCACCCGGGTATTAAGCCCCGTAACGAGTCGGACGTTCGAACTGTGCTGCTCGCGGACAACAGGCACAACAATTATTGTTATTACGTTTCCAGCAAGGCCGCTTTATCGCCGCTAACCGCGTCCATCTCCCTTTTACGACGAGAAACTGAATTAGACGACCGTAAAATGGTTCTTTGTCAGCGACCGAAATTGCACGTTGCGGAGATTGAAGGAACAATTAGCCAGAGACAGCGAAATTAATGATTCCGGGTTCGTCGTATTTTCATACTCGATGAAACGCTACGCGGGGCCCGCAGGATTTTTCGAAATTCTAGTTTTTTCAACAGTCTCGAAGGAGAAGATCGTCGAACGGCGCGTTGTTCAGCGTACAGCGATGCTCGGACGACTTTTCTATCCTCAAAGTAGCTTTTCCCCCGATTAAAACGAGCCCAAACTTGCCAATTTGATTCTGGGTCAATTTTTACCCGAGACTAAATTTTCATTTCATCGATGTTATGTATTAAAAGAGCTTTGGGTGGCTGAAACGAGTCGAAAGAGTACCCACTCGGTGGTAGAGTACCGTTCAGTTATCCGGGCGAGGGTGTATTTCAGTTATCCGAACGTTGCTGTAACGTCTCAAAAGAGGAGATCGTCAAATGGTAACTGTTTCCTTGTTTTCGGTTCTCAAAACAGCTTTCTTCAAGGAGCCCAAACTTGTGAATTCGATTCTGGGTGAATTTTGACCCGAGATTAAATCTTCATTTCATCGATATTATGTATTAAAAGAGCTTTGGCTGTTTGAAACAAGTCGAAAGAGTACCCACTCGGTGGTAGAGTACCGTTCAGTTATCCGGGCGAGACTATGTTTCAGTTATCCGAACGTTGCTGTACCGTCTCGAAAGAGAAGATCGTCGAATGACAGTGTCAAATGGTAACTGTTTCGTTGTTTTCGCTTCTCAAAACAGCTTTCTTCAAGGAGTTCAAACTTGTGCATTCGATTCTGGGTCAATTTTTACCCGAGACTAAATTTTCATTTCATCGATGTTATGTATTAAAAGAGCTTTGGGTGTCTGAAACGAGACGAAAGAGTACCCACTCGATGGTAGAGTACCGTTCAGTTACCCGGGTGAGACTATGTTTCAGTTATCCGAACATTGCTGTACCGTCTCGAAAGAGAAGATCGTCGAATGACACAGTCAAATGGTAACTGTTTCGTTGTTTTCGCTTCTCAAAACAGCTTTCTTCAAAACCCCAAACTTGCGAATATAATTTTGGGTGAATTTCGACCCGAGTCTAAACTATCATTTAATCATTGTTACTCATTAAAAGAGCTGTTTGAAAGAAAACGAAAGAGTACCCACTCGAATGATAGGGAACCGTTCAGTTATCCAGGCGAGGGTATATTTCAGTTATCCGAACGTTGCTGTACCGCCTCGAAAAAGAAGATCGTCGAATGGTAACTGTTTCGTTGTTTTCGCTTCTCAAAACAGCTTTCTCCAAAAAGCCCAAACTTGCGAATATAATTTTAAGTCAATTTCGATCCGAGTCTAAACTATCATTTAATCATTGTTACGCGTTAAAAGAGCTGTTTGAAAGAAAACAAAAGAGTACCCACTCGATGGCAGAGAACCGTTCAGTTATCCGGGCGAGGGTGTGTTTCAGTTATCCGAGCGTTGCTGTACGGCGTAAAATGAGTGGAGAAATTGTTAGCACGTAGACAGGGGTGTTTCGTAGACGCGATGCAAGCCAGATACATCGCAGGGGTATAAGTTATGTTAACCATAATGCGGCCACGGTCACTATACATATCAATTAACGTGCAATGTAATCGACGATGTGATGAGAAACCCACACATATCATGATGCGTGTTCTGTATACATTAGGTAAACTAGGTAAGGGGTAAGAAAATGCAGAAAATTAAGGAAAAAACAACGTGTATATACGTCCTATACATATAAATATGTAACAATTGCGTTTAATTCTCTCGCGAATGCGATCAATGGGGTCCGTAGCTCGAGTTGGAGGGACACGTTTAATATTTTCCGCGAGCGTTACGAAGTGTTCCTCTGATTTTCCTTGCTTCGTGTCGATCGTCGAAAAAAACAAATATTTCGCGACGGGCTGCCTGAACGCCGAACGCAAAAATGGTCGAGTCGCGAGACTGACAAAAAAAAAAGAAATTCCAGCGTTACGGGAACCACAAAACTGTTCTTCGATTACTCGCCTGCTTTTGAAAAAAAAATCGAATCGCGTACCCCCTCCCCCTCCCCACTGTTGTTGTAACCTTCGTCCCATTCTCGCAAGCCAGAGACGCCTACCTATCGTAGAGTATTATTATGTATAAAGACAAAAGAAAACGCCCCCCAACCCCGACGTACCCCCCTCCCGCTCCCCCTCCCCCCGTAAGAGTATATCCATGTATATGTATTGCGAAAGCGTTTACGGTATTGTATTATATGACACACTGTACGTGTATGAATTGATAAACTGAATATTGATTGTAAATGTTAAAAATAAACAGCGTACGAAAATGAAGCGACAAGTCGACGGGTCTGTTATTCGTGCTGAGATTTATGTCATCCCTTTCCACTCTGAGACCCTTTGTTAATTCAAATTTTGTATATTTTTTGTATATTTTCGAAATTTAATTTATTATAAATGAAGAGTACTTTGTGAGTATAATAAATTGGAATTAGGAATATGATAGAAAGTAGAGAGCTCGTATCGATTCAATTTGTATTAAAAAGGTTTATTTCGAGGATTCGGAGTGTCGTGAAAAGAACCACAAATGGGTTAATAGTTGAAGGTTGATTTTCTAGATACGACGTTACCAAGAGGAGCTCGTGGGACTGGTGGATGGAAATGGGTGAGGACATGCGATAGTTTGGCGCAGTTACGTCCGAGTGCTGGTATCGACACGCGTTTTTAGCCAAGTAACAGCAGAAATAGCAAGAGCTTTTACTTATTCATACCTCGGTGTCATTCGAGTCGAGGGAATCGATAAATCGACCTGGTTTACGTTGCCCAACTAACCTTACGTCTTACTTCTGCGGCTTGATGATCTTTATCCTGGTTTACGAAGGGTAGGTCGCGCCCAAATGAACACTTTCGCCACCCCCCTGGTGTTGCGTTTACTCTGTTTTCAGCGTAGCAGTTTTATTAGTACAAAAAGCATTTTTTACAAAATAAATAAATTACAGGCTCTCGAACGAGGAATCATCTTTTTTTCGTGTCTTCTTCCCCTCCCTCGTGTGTTTTCCTCGCCTTCTTTTTTTTTACGCGATTAGGTTCGCCACGGTTCGTGATACGACGATGGATGTTAATAACGACAGACGCCCTCTCGTGACCGGTTAGAACGATAGAAAATTCTTCCGTTCGCGGGAACGCGTCTGTCAGGGTGCACGTTGGACATTTTCCTCCCAAACGACGTTCGACGTTATGCTTTCAATGCGAATCCTGGATGCTTCGGGGATGATTCCGCGGGAACGACCTTCGATTTTGCTTCCCTCGTCTCTCCATCGGATGCCTCGTGCTTGGACGTCGGTCCCGAGTCAACAAGCTCGAAGGTCTCCACGCGACGCGAATAGTTGCGATTAATATTGGTAGCCTCCGTTGCTGGCGTAGCCCTGGCCACCTCCTCCGTTCCCACCCCCGCCTGAGTAGCCACCTCCACCTCCGTTGTAACCACCCCCGCCTCCTCCGCCGGAGTAACCACCTCCTCCACCGGAATAACCACCTCCTCCTCCAGAATAACCACCTCCGCCTCCTCCAGAGTAGCCACCTCCACCTCCTCCAGAGTACCCACCGCCTCCGGAATATCCGCCACCTCCGTTCCCTCCAGAGTAACCACCTCCGCCTCCAGAATATCCGCCACCTCCGTTCCCTCCAGAGTAACCACCTCCGCCTCCAGAATATCCGCCCCTGAAATTTTCAATTTTCTATCCCTTAAAACAAGTCATCATCCACTCGAGATGATCTTTAAACATATCGCTGTTTCAACCCTTTGCAATCGTATGCTGTGTTTAAGTGCAATCAGCCATTTTGAAATTAATTATTTTGCATTGCATGTATCAGGAGTTCTTGATACGACTGCATAGGGTTGTGGGATCCACCTCGTCCCTTTCTCGCCACCAGAGGGCCACGTTCTCGTCTTTCTCGCAAGCGGTCGATCAACTACCCAAAATCTCAAATTGCCCAGATAGTGGTAATCCTGACATGTGGCTTAGGCTATATAGTAATAATATCGTGGATGTTTTACCCTCCGAAGCTGCCACCACCGGTGCTAGGTGTACCGTAAGATGAAGATGGTCTTCCTCCCCCGAATCCGTTACCGCCCCCTGTCGGTGCCCCATAGCTGCTAGATATTCCCCCACCTCCAGAGCCGGGTGCTCCATAGCTGGAGGACGGTCTTCCACCTCCGTTTCCACCTCCATTTCCACGCGAGGGGGCCCCATAGCTGGAGGAAATGCCTCCACCGCCTCCAAAACCGCCACCGCCTCCGGAGCCAGGTGCTCCATAAGATGAGGAGGGTCTTCCACCTCCGAATCCACCACCTCCATTGCCAGACGGTGCACCGTAGTTGCTGGAGGGCCTTCCAGCAGACGGGGCCCCATAATTGCTGGAGGGCCTGCCAGGAGACGGGGCCCCATAGTTGCTAGATGGCGCTGAGTATCCGTTTCCACCACCGTTGCCTCCGCCTCCACCGAAGCCAGGTGCACCGTAATTGGACGATGGTGCTCCACCTCCACCACCTCCGTTGTATCCTCCCCCACCTCCTCCGCCAAAACCACCACCGCCACCGCCAGTGGGCGCTCCGTAATTGGAGGATGGACGACCACCGCCGCCATTAGGTGCACCGTAAGTGGATGATGGGCCTCCTCCACCTCCACCTCCACCTCCTAGATTCGGGGTCCCATAGCTCGTCGATGGTGGTAGGTAGCTACCTGAGACTGGGGCTGCAAAATACATTTTATTTTATGTTTTAGGAATCTTTCACAGTTCTTTTATTTCAAACAGAATGTTTGACTGTGTTTGAGAGTATGCAGTGTCGTCCATTTTAACTCTTTCTCGCCCAAAAAATTCTAAAATATCCCTATAATATCTGCAAATAATCCCTGCAAATTTGGGAGCAAAAGGTCCCATAGTTTATTCACAAAAAATTCTCCGAGAAAATCTAAAAAAAATTCACTTCGTACTACTGCATTTTAAAATCGACTATGTTTGGGATTATACAGTGTCGTCAATTTTAACTCTTTCTCGTCGAAAAAATTCTAAAATATCCCTACAATATCTGCAAATAATCCCTGCAAATTTGACAGCAAAAGGTCCCATAGTTTATTCACAAAAAATTCTCCAAGAAAGTCTGAAAAAAATGCACTAAGTACGATGTTTGACTATGTTTGAGATTATACAGTTCCAACAATTTTAACTTGTTTTCGTTGAAAAAATTCTGAAATGTCACTAATATATTCATAAATGAGCCCTGTAAATTTGATTGCAAAAGGTCGTATAGTTCATTCACAAAAAATTCATTTTGCGTTTCAGGAATATCACGTTTCTTTATTTCAAACAAACAGGATGTTCGACTATGTTTGAGAGTATACAGAGTCGTCAATTTTAACTTGTTTTCGTTAAAAAAATTCTGAAGTGTCACTAACATATGCATAAACAAACCCTATAAATTTAATTGCAAAAGCTCCTATAGTTTATTCACAAAAAATTCCAAAAGAAAGAATAGATAAATAAATATTCAAATATCGATCGAGACAGGTGTGGAGGCTCATTTTAATTAAATCTACGGCCTGATTGGGCCTCATAGATGAGACTGGGCCTTGTAAATTCATTTAACTTTCCAATTATTAATTTCCAAACAAATTTTATTAATTTTATTAATGTCTTTACGAGTCTAGCAAGTTGCATAATGAATTATTTCAAACACATCTTACATAAAGTGAAATTTTCTATAATTAGTTGGGTCTCTGAGAATATTATTTAAAACAATTTAATTCCCCTCGGATAAAATTAACGTTAGCGTGAAACCGTAAGTAGATCGTAACGATTTCAACCGAGATGGTTGCACCACGCTGGTGCAATTATGAATTTATCTATTCGCGATAGGGATATAATAATTGCATCGAAATTTACGTTCTTAGAATGCCTCGTCGGTGTTCCTGCAAATGTGTGTCAACGTTTACTTTCTTTTTGTTTTAATATGTCGTTTGTACACACTTCGAGTGCTGTCTGAGAATCTTATAATTGGTTCATTGCACGTAAATTTTGTAATCACTTGGAAAAGAAACGCTTTCGGATCCTTTCTATTCACCTGTAGCCTACTTTGTTCCTCGATAGTGATCGAAAAATCGATCGTTGCACAATCTGAACTTTTAAACAAAATTTAAGATGATAACTATATAGATACAAGGCCCTAACATTGTTTATGGTTGTTAATTTTTTAATATCTCTACAGTGAGATTGTTCGAGTGTTTAGAAGATTTTTTAAATAGAGAAAGATTGATTAAAAAATGGGAATAAATGTTTTAAAAGAGCTTTTAATTATCAAATGTTTTAGAAAGATTGGAACAGTGTGTTTGGACGTTTGAATATTTCATTTCTGCTTCTTCGAGCGATTTCTACTTTTTTCGCGTCCTGATTTTTCAATTCCGCGTCCGATTTTCATTCACCAGCGGACGGCGAAGTGAAACTTATCGTGGCTCGATCGCGTGAAATTCGTCTGGTTTGATCTAGGAGACTACAAAGTGATAATTCCGCTCTGGAACGGTGCTTTATCGCATAATAACGCCTATTGTTACGAGAATTCCTCTTCACGGCTTTCCATTTCCTTGCATTTTCATAGATTTTCACAAAAATCACGAGTTAAAAAATTCTAGTTAAAAAAAAATTTGTTAAAATTATTAAAATTACATTTTCATTTATTTAAGAGTATTTTTAAGATATATTTCCCTATGCAAAGTTTGGTTTTCTAGTCCTGGAAGCTTTCGGAAGACTTCATTAAAAATTCTATTTAAAAAAAAAATTTATAAAATTTAATAAATTTATGAAATGATATTTTTATTTATTTCTGAGTATTTTTAAGATATATTTCCCTATGCAAAGTTTGGTTTTTCTAGTCCTAGAAGCTTTCAAAGTATTCCATTTAAAATTCTATTTAAAAGAATAATGATAAAAATGAATAAAATTAAATTTCTAATATTTTTATTTAATTAAGAGTATTTTTAAGATATATTTTCTATGTAAAGTTTGATTTTCTAGTCCTAGAAGCTCTCAGAGTATTCCATTTAAAATTCTATTTAACAAAAATGATGCATAAACATTAACAAAATTAAATTTATGATATTTCTATTTATTTCTGACTGTTTTAAAGATATATTTCCTATAATTGATTCATAAAAATAAATAAAATTAAATTTCTAATATTTTTATTTATTTCTGACTGTTTTAAAGATATATTTCCTATGCAAAATTCATTTCTCTAGTCTTTGGAGTTCTCTGCAAATTCCATTTAAAATTTAAACTTCATTCTAGTGCATTTTAAAATCAACAATGTTTGAGATTATACAGTGTCACCAATTTTGACTCGATGTCGTTAAAAAAATTTGTATATACCACTAAAATATGTCTAAACAAAGCCTGTAAATTTGACAACAAAAGGTCTCATAGTTTATTCAAAAAAAATTCCTCAAGAAAGCCTAAAAATAATGCACTTCATACAAGTGCATTTTAAGATCGACAATGTTTGAGATTACACAGTATCGTCAATTTTGACTCGATCTCATCGAAAAAATTTGTATACTCCACTGAAATATGTCCAAACAAATCCTGTAAATTTGACAACAAAAGGTCTCATAGTTTATTCAAAAAAAATTCCTCAAGAAACCCTGAAAAACTGCATTTCATTCTAATGCATTTTTAAAGCAGATATGCTTGACTATGTTTGAATATATGCAGTTGCATCAATTTTAACTATTTCACGCTTAAAAAATTCTAAAATATCACTAAAGTATGTGCAAATAAACCCTGTAAATTTGACAACAAAAGGTCCGATAGTTTATTCACAAAAAATTCCTCAAGAAAGTCTAAAAAAAATGCACTTCATACAAGTGCATTTTAAAGTCGACTATGTTTGAGATTATGTAGTGCTACCAATTTTGACTCAATCTCGTCGAAAAAATTCATATATATTACTGAAATATGTCCAAACAAACCCTGTAAATTTGACAACAAAAGGTCCCATAGTTTATTTACAAAAAATTCCTCAAGAAAGTCTACAAATTCCTGACTATTTTTAAGATACATTGCCCTAAGCAAACTTCATTTTTCTAGTCTCCCAGAAGCTTTCATCAGACTATTCCATTAAAAATTCTATTTAAAAACAAAATGGCCCATAAACGTTAACAAAATTAAATTTACGATAATTTTATTTATTTCTGTCTGTTATAAAAATATATTTCCTATGTAAAATTCGTTTCTCTAGTCTTTGGAATTTTCTGCATATTCCATTAAAAATTCCATTAAAAAAATTGATGCATAAAAATAAATAAAATTAAATTTCTAATATTTCTATTTATTCCTCAGTATTTTGAAGATATATTGCCCTAAGCAAACTTAGTTTCTCTAGTCTCCCAGAAGTTTACAGACTATTCCATTAAAAATTCTATTCAAGGAAAATGGCGCATAAATATTAACAAAATTAAATTTCTAATATTTCCATTTATTTCTAAGTATTTTTAAGATACATTGCCCTAAGCAAACTTCGTTTCTCTAGTCCTAGAAGCTTTCAAAGTATTTAATTTAAAATTCTATTTAAAAAAAAATGGCCCATAAGCATTAACAAAATTAAATTTATGATAATTTTATTTATTTCTGTCTGTTTTAAAGATATATTTCCTATGTAAAATTAGTTTCTCTAGTCTTTGGAATTTTCTGCATATTCCATTAAAAATTCCATTAAAAAAATTGATGCATAAAAATAAATAAAATTAAATTTCTAATATTTCTATTTATTCCTCAGTATTTTTAAGATACATTGCCCTAAGCAAACTTAGTTTCTCTAGTCTCCCAGAAGCTTGCAGACTATTCCATTTAAAATTCTGCCAAATCTGAAGCTCTCAGCCCAAAAAAAAAATTAATTTACCATAAAATTTAATTAAAAAATTATCTCAATCCTGAAGGATACTCAATCCTGAAGGATAAGTGTTCTTACCCTCAGCCTGTATGGGTTGCAGAAGCAGCACCGTGGCGAGTACGGTGGCCGCCAGTGGGGCCCAGTTTTTCGTGGGCCTCATGGTCCCTCGCGCAAACGGTCGACGAGATGGTTCACACGCACGAACTGTCCCTTCCACCCCCGACAGTACGTTACGATCACACGTGGTTACTCTCAATTATAACAGAATCCTGGTTCGGTTACGTTGGCGCGTATACGCGGACCTGATCGACGCATCCGCGAGATTTCGTCTAACGTGCTTCGGACATCGTCGATTCACGCTTATATAGTTGCCCGTCTTTCGGAGAAAGTTCTTCGCGGGAGTGCAAGAGGATGCTACCAGGTTCCCCGAGACATCTTGGCGAACATGGAAGGGGGGCACGAGGGGGGGAATAGACGCGAGACGGTTGACCCTGGTCAGGCTGTTAACGATTTTTATCTCCGGGTTCGTCTCTTTTCCTCGTTTATCATTTTTTTTTTGCACCGCCAAAGGGGGGAACTTTACCTCACGCTCTCGTTTATGATAAATCGACGCGGACTGTGGCCTTCGCCGCATGATGGAACAAGAGATCGCGAACGATCGCCGGGCCCCGCGAGTTATTCAACGTTTCGTAATTTTATTAAACATTTATGTAGATTACTGTCGTAACGATTGAACTTTTCAAAGCGTGTCCTTTCCGTTGACGACCCTCTTCTTTTCCAGCACGACTTCGGGGGGAGTTTGAAATGCAAGCTTCGATCGTTTTGTTTGAACGGAGGACTTGGAGAAGTTCCTGTTTAGGTTGGAGATCATTAGGAATTCAATGTGCATCGCGATGAGTCTTTGGTGACACCGGGATTGGAAATTTGGATTCCTGGGGGGGCGAATTTTGGACACTTTTATGGCGCAATCGTGATCTGAATAGAGGAATTGCGTTTGCAACGTTTTGTATTTTGAATTATAAATGTAATGGCGTGTTGGGTAACTTGGGTGAACTATATGGCTCTGAAGTCAGCTATTATTTGCATTTTTTAAGTCTGATTCTGTTCAACTGTCGATATGTGTTATGGAGGTCTAGTGTGGAGGACGTTTTTTTGGGGAATTTTTTCTGAATAAACTATGAAATCTATCACTGTCAAATTAACGAGGTTTGTTTGGACATATTTCAAGAGTGTATATGAATTTTTTCGACGAGATCGAGTCAAAATTGGTGACACTGTATAATTTCAAACATAGTCGATGTTAAAATGCATCAGTACGAAATGCATTTTTTTTAGGCTTTATTTGGGAATTTTTTGTGAATAAACTATAAGATCTATCATAGTCAAATTTACAGGGTTTGTTTAGACATATTTCAGTAATATATATGAATTTTTTCGACGAGATCGAGTCAAAATTGGTAACACTACACAATCTGAAACATTGACGATTTTAAAATGCATTGATACGAAATGCAGTTTTTTGGCTTTCTTGAGGAATTTTTTTTTAATAAACTATGAGACCTTTTGCTGTAAAATTTATAGGGTTTATTTGTACATACTTCAGTTATATTTTAGAATTTTTTGAGCGAGATCGCGTTAAAATTGATGACACTACATAATCTCAAACATAGTCGATTTTAAAATGCATTGGTACGAAATGCATTTTTTTTAGACTTTCTTGTGGAATTTTTTGTGAATAAACTATGAGATCTATCGCAGTCAAATTTACAGGGTTTGTTTAGACATATTTCAGTAATATATGTGAATTTTTTCAACAAGATCGAGTCAAAATTGGTAGCACTACATAATCTGAAACATTGACGATTTTAAAATGCATTGATACGAATTGCAGTTTTCTAGGCTTTCTTGAGGAATTTTTTTTGAATAAACTATGAGACCTTTTGCTGTGAAATTTATAGGGTTTATTTGTACATACTTTCGTTACATTTTAGAATTTTTTGAGCGAGATCGCGTTAAAATTGATGACACTACATAATCTCAAACATAGTCGATTTTAAAATGCACTTGTATGAAGTGCATTTTTTTTAGACCTTCTTGAGGAATTTTTTGTGAATAAACTATGGGACCTTTTGTTGTCAAATTTACAGGGTTTATTTGCACATACTCTAGAGATATTTTAGAATTTTTTAAGCGAGAAAAAGTTAAAATTGATGAAACTGCATATATTCTAACATTGTCAAGCATTTCTGCTTTAAAAATGCATTAGAATGTAATGCAGTTTTCTAGGCTTTCTTGAGGAATTTTTTTTGAATGAACTATGAGACCTTTTACAGCCAAATTTACAGGGTTTATTTATAGATATTGAAGGGATATTTTAGAATTTTTTCGGTGAGATCGAGTTAAAATTGACGATACTGTGTAATCTCAAACATAGTCGATTTTAAAATGCACTTGTATGAAGTGCAACTTTTTTAGACTTTCTTCGAGAATTTTTTGTGAAGAAACTATGAGACCTTTTGCAGTCAAATTTACAGGGTTTATTTGCACATACTTTAGTGATATTTTAGAATTTTTTAAGCGAGAAAAAGTTAAAATTGATGAAACTGCATATATTCTAACATTGTCAAGCATTTCTGCTTTAAAAATGCATTAGAATGTAATGCAGTTTTCTAGGCTTTCTTGAGGAATTTTTTTTGAATGAACTATGAGACCTTTTACAGCCAAATTTACAGGGTTTATTTATAGATATTGACGGGATATTTTAGAATTTTTTCGGTGAGATCGAGTTAAAATTGACGATACTGTGTAATCTCAAACATAGTCGATTTTAAAATGCACTTGTATGAAGTGCAACTTTTTTAGACTTTCTTCGAGAATTTTTTGTGAATAAACTATGGGACCTTTTGCTGTCAAATTTACAGGGTTTATTTGCACATACTTTAGTGATATTTTAGAATTTTTTAAGCGAGAAAAAGTTAAAATTGATGCAACTGTATATATTCAAACATAGTCAAGCATTTCTGCTGTAAAAATGCATTAGAATGTAATGCAGTTTTCTAGGCTTTCTTGAGGAATTTTTTTTGAATGAACTATGAGACCTTTTACAGCCAAATTTACAGGGTTTATTTATAGATATTGAAGGGATATTTTAGAATTTTTTCGGTGAGATCGAGTTAAAATTGACGATACTGTGTAATCTCAAACATAGTCGATTTTAAAATGCACTTGTATGAAGTGCATTTTTTTTAGACCTTCTTGAGGAATTTTTTGTGAATAAACTATGGGACCTTTTGTTGTCAAATTTACAGGGTTTATTTGCACATACTCTAGAGATATTTTAGAATTTTTTAAGCGAGAAAAAGTTAAAATTGATGAAACTGCATATATTCTAACATTGTCAAGCATTTCTGCTTTAAAAATGCATTAGAATGTAATGCAGTTTTCTAGGCTTTCTTGAGGAATTTTTTTTGAATGAACTATGAGACCTTTTACAGCCAAATTTACAGGGTTTATTTATAGATATTGAAGGGATATTTTAGAATTTTTTCGGTGAGATCGAGTTAAAATTGACGATACTGTGTAATCTCAAACATAGTCGATTTTAAAATGCACTTGTATGAAGTGCAACTTTTTTAGACTTTCTTCGAGAATTTTTTGTGAAGAAACTATGAGACTTTTTGCAGTCAAATTTACAGGGTTTATTTGCACATACTTTAGTGATATTTTAGAATTTTTTAAGCGAGAAAAAGTTAAAATTGATGAAACTGCATATATTCTAACATTGTCAAGCATTTCTGCTTTAAAAATGCATTAGAATGTAATGCAGTTTTCTAGGCTTTCTTGAGGAATTTTTTTTGAATGAACTATGAGACCTTTTACAGCCAAATTTACAGGGTTTATTTATAGATATTGACGGGATATTTTAGAATTTTTTCGGTGAGATCGAGTTAAAATTGACGATACTGTGTAATCTCAAACATAGTCGATTTTAAAATGCACTTGTATGAAGTGCAACTTTTTTAGACTTTCTTCGAGAATTTTTTGTGAATAAACTATGGGACCTTTTGCTGTCAAATTTACAGGGTTTATTTGCACATACTTTAGTGATATTTTAGAATTTTTTAAGCGAGAAAAAGTTAAAATTGATGCAACTGTATATATTCAAACATAGTCAAGCATTTCTGCTGTAAAAATGCATTAGAATGTAATGCAGTTTTCTAGGCTTTCTTGAGGAATTTTTTTTGAATGAACTATGAGACCTTTTACAGCCAAATTTACAGGGTTTATTTATAGATATTGAAGGGATATTTTAGAATTTTTTCGGTGAGATCGAGTTAAAATTGACGATACTGTGTAATCTCAAACATAGTCGATTTTAAAATGCACTTGTATGAAGTGCAACTTTTTTAGACTTTCTTCGAGAATTTTTTGTGAAGAAACTATGAGACCTTTTGCAGTCAAATTTACAGGGTTTATTTGCACATACTTTAGTGATATTTTAGAATTTTTTAAGCGAGAAAAAGTTAAAATTGATGCAACTGTATATATTCAAACATAGTCAAGCATATCTGCTTTAAAAATGCATTAGAATGTAATGCAGTTTTCTAGGCTTTCTTGAGGAATTTTTTTTGAATGAACTATGAGACCTTTTACAGCCAAATTTACAGGGTTTATTTATAGATATTGAAGGGATATTTTAGAATTTTTTCGGTGAGATCGAGTTAAAATTGACGATACTGTGTAATCTCAAACATAGTCGATTTTAAAATGCACTTGTATGAAGTGCAACTTTTTTAGACTTTCTTCGAGAATTTTTTGTGAAGAAACTATGAGACCTTTTGCAGTCAAATTTACAGGGTTTATTTGCACATACTTTAGTGATATTTTAGAATTTTTTAAGCGAGAAAAAGTTAAAATTGATGCAACTGTATATATTCAAACATAGTCAAGCATATCTGCTTTAAAAATGCATTAGAATGAAATGCAGTTTTTTAGGCTTTCTTGAGGAATTTTTTGTGAATAAACTACGAGAACTTTTGCTGTCAAATTTACAGGGTTCGTGTAGACATATTTCAGTGATATATATGAATTTTTTCGGTGTGATCGGGTCAAAATTGGTGATACTGTATAATCTCAAACATTGTCGATTTTAAAATGCAC